GGTCATCTAAAGCTGTTGTAAAATCGCTGTCGGTGATCTTGGCCCACAACTTCTTATCTTTTAGAATAATAATATTTTCAATCGAAAAAAGCTCTTTACAGTAGCCAAGCTTAAAAGCTCTCTTGAACAGCCTGTCTATGCGACTCAGATACTTATGATAATACGCGCAGCCCCATACTTCTACAGCATATGTAAATATAGGTAGAATAAGACTGATAAAAAGAAGATGAAGATGATCCAGCGGCAGTCCATAGAATTTACAAACACGTAAGATGTGCAGACGACTACTGGCTTTCGATATAATATTATCAAAATGTAAATCCCTGTTACACGGATCAGATTGAAAAGTTACACCCAACAACTTCAGACATGGTTTACGCTCTATAGAAACCAGAGGAACAGGTAAAGCCTTAGTGGATTTGCCTCTAAGAAGCATCTCCCACGTTTTCTTGAAGTTTAGTTGCAGACGGTTAGTAGATGTCTATGTGACGATAGTTCGGACCTCCTCAGCTGCTGAATTGCCGTTGTTAGCCCCCGCTTTTACTGGAATACTTAATGTTAAATCATCAGCATATTTCACAAGCAAATTCTGATTTGGTAGAATGGCCTTAATATCGTTGGCCATAATAGAAAATAGTATAGGGCCTATAACTGTCCCTTGAGGGACACCCCTATTGATATTTAAATAATCCGTAGCAATGGCATCAACAACAACTCTTTGTTTTCTATTCTGTCGGATTAAGGTCAAGTGTTTTAAACTTAGAGCAGAGGATATCTTGAGGGACCGAATCAACACAGGCTAAATCAAAAGCTTTGCTGAAATCAAAAGAGAAAATTCTAACGCAATCAAAACCCGAATCAAGCCATTTCAGCCAAGCATATTCACACTTAATTAAGGCCGCAGTCGTATTGTGGCCTTTGCGGTCTGCAAACTGGTCAAACCTAATGAACTTATTCATATATTGAGATAATTCTTCTCTGTATTTAGGCGAGCCTTAAAGCGAAGCACGAGTAGGTTAAGTTTTGACTGTCCTTCACTTTATTACATTTCCGTAGAGGTTTCTGAAGAGACAGTTGACATCAGTTTAGGGACTGGTCATAAGTTACGAAGAAGTAGGGAAGACAAGGAACCAGAAAACATGGGGATCATGGGAATTTTGCATTAGATAGAGGGCGGGCTTTGCCTTTAAACTGCAGAACTTATGTCCGTTGCCATCTTTTTAGGTACCCTGCTGGCAGAGGCGTTTATTTGTTAACTTTCCCTACGGTCCACGTAAAAATAAAGTCCTCTGCGCTCGGCCTGTTAAATCTTCTTCGATTATGCGCCTGAGAATTATCCAAGTTTGTTGATAATCTGATTTGCAAAACCAGTCAGAACCTGTTTTAAACACGTTTTTATGCGCACGCATCCTATTTAGCAATATAGCAAGACCGAGAACTACCGGGAACTAATTTGTTTCTAAGCAACAGGCCGCGCATGCTCGAAGAGGATTTAACAGGTCGAGCGCAGAGGACTTTATTTTTACGTGGACCAAACGCCTCTGCCAGTAGGGTACCTTTTAGGGGAAGTAGACATGCAATGAGAGTAAAAACTCTTAAAATAAGGCTTACGCATTTCCAATTTGTTTCACACCTGTTCGATCTATTCAGCACAGTGTGACTGACGAAAGGTTTCTTTATAGATCCAAATCTGTTATTTGGAATGTCACTATACAACAATACAGTCGTTAATATTAATGACGATACTAACTGTAGTTCAGAATTAACCATGAAACAACTGTTTGACAATGTATAATGTATAATGAGTGCCACTAGTTACTCAGTTGAAGCACTTTCCCGTGTTACCCTCGTTAAATAAAGTTGATTGATTGATTGAATGAATGGCGCGGAAAATATTGCACTAAAATCTGCCTAAAAAATGCTCTTACATTAAAGATACTAAGCCGTCTGAGTACTGATATATGATCAAAATTGTTCAGCCAAACAACCTGAGTTTTTTTCCTCTCCTCAGGTTTTCCAGTGTCTTCTCATCGAGGGAGAGAATTGTGGCGCAGATGCGTTGCGACAAGCTCAAAAGTTCGTAATCTCCGATGACCAATTCAATCGTTTTGTTGAAAGACATTCCAAGTTACCTTGTCTTGTTCCTGAATCAAATGAAAAGGTAAACGAGTTGGATGATTTCTCTTTTAACGTCCCTAACGATGTTTTGTACGAGGAATCTTATCTCCGTTATTAAATCCCTCTTTCCGGTTTTTTCTAACATTTTTAATAGAGAAATATCCACGATGGCTTTCTTAATTATATCTTATAAATAAAGAAATATTTCTCTACATATGTAACCCTTTGAACCCTAACGTTGGTATTCATCTTCTCCGCACTTTTCTTTTGACTTTTGCTATCGTACTGACCAGGAGAATTTGTTTTACAATCAGGAACTTCTTAAACTGGTGATTATCAGATGCGGATCTAGACCTTGAACTAAGGAGGGGGGGGGAGGTGGGGGCGTTTTTGTTTGTGTCTGTTCACCCGCCGGCTTTTCTTCCCTCTCCGTTTATATTTTTACCCAAAATAAGGGAGGAGGGGGGCGGGAACCCCGTGCGCCTCCCCTAGACCCGTTACTGATCATTTCTTTTATTCTTATGACCTTTACATTTGACTCAAGCGTGATATTTGTAAGGAGAAATTAGTTTCTACGAGAGTTTGACAAAAGCATCTTACCTTGATAATTTTATTGTAAAAAAAAGAAATCCTCTGCCTTTAAAAGAACTAAACTAAAGCCCTTGTTAATCCGCTATATTTTTTTCCATAGATGCAGAACTCGTATCTCATTCTGGACGAGTGTGTAAGTATTTTCAAAAATCGATGGTTAACCCTTTACACGATAACATCAGTTTTCATATTCTCCAAACTGTTCTCTATATATACGTTTTCTAAGGTCTTGACAGAATTTATTTAACAATCAAGAGGTTCTTAGGTAGGTGACCATTTCCTGTATTCTTAAAGTTACCGTGCACTTTCAGGGGTGTCTCGCCTGCAAGCGATGTAGCGCGTCCGGTTTAAACTGTAGATATCTAAACCCCTATATCAAATTAAAGCTTATATATAGGACTGGCTATCAGACTAGCTACTGTCAAACTAGCTGTAAAACTCCGACGAAGGGCTAACGCTCGGAACGTCAGCTTTTGTAATCGTTACGGTGGCCAATTTACCATTTCAACTTTGTTGATATATCCAAATTATTTCGTTACCCCCACCGACGAAGCCGCAAACAGTTTCTTTAGAAACTATCAGCCTCTACTGTAAAACTAGCTACTGTCAATTTGAGAGCAATCGAACATATACCCTTTGACTTGTAGCTCTTAAAAGGTGATTCGGGCGCTCGCATTTAGAAGTCGTGAAAAATTCAACAATTTATCTATTTTCAAAAATTTTGGTATAGTCTGATAGCCAGTCCAATAAGCTTTAATTTGATATAGGGGTTTAGATATCTACAGTTTAAACCGGACGCGCTACATCGCTTGCACGCGAGACACCCCTGAAGGTGCACGGTAACCTTAAGACTTTAATGTGTGATTCAGGGGTGAAATTGTGAGGAGAAACTGGAAGCTAGTTTCTCTTCGGGGTCAAAGGATTAATAGAAAAGGAATGGAAGAAATCCTTCAGATAACATTTTACCGTCGAATTAAAAAAAAAAACCATGGACGTGGATCGCTCTCATTTGATAATGGAGTTCATTGTTTTCAGTGTTAGCTTCTTTTTTCATGAAAATTGCCTCTATTATACCAAGCAGATTTATGTTCACGAAATCCTATGACTCCTATAAACTGGATCCTTTTCTGCTCGAGTGCGGGAACCAGTTTACACTGAACAGCACGACTTGGAGCCAAGATTATTCAAGTTGAAAATTAATAAGAACTGTTTTGATTCTTAGAAATGATAAAAGAAAAGATAAATAGAAAAAAAAATCTAAGTTAATTAATTAGCCACTTGTTGCGAGAGAGAGATATGTCTTCGAAGTAAAATCGCATCATTGAATAAAATCGCGTATTCTGATTGGTTAGCGAAGCGAGGTATTTAGCGTGAAATTCCGAGTTGAAATCGAGGCTATTTTGTAAATGGTATTGTTTCGCATCTATTGCTTTGTACCTCGGATAAAAACAAACACTGTTATTGCTGTTTTCTCCTTTCCTTAGTTTTATTCAGTTATGCAATTTAAGGAAAATCGATCACCTAACTCGTGAATTCAGTGTTAAATTGCACGCTTCGCGATTTGTGCGATATCGGTTTTCGCGTGAAATTTAAAGCGAAACTTCCTCGTCTAGTAATTAATTTTCCAATTCATTTGAAGGAGGAATTTCTAACCTACCACTCCTATTCTTAATTTAGATGCGTTTCCTGGATTGTAGATCTGGCGCCAAAACTCCATCCAAATCTCTGTTAGATGTAGGAGTTGAAGACGCCATAAATGCGAGTGGATTCGATGAAGAGATGTTCTTGAGACGAGGGGGAAAATACACGTGGAGCAAAGCTGACATGAATCTGGAATGGTAGCCTAATGCAACACAGCGGTCAAATGTCGAGCATGCGCGCGAGGATTAATTCTTGCTAACCGTGCGCTAATTTCTCGCACAAAGGTTCATCGGGAAAAATAACAAATGGCCATTGCCTCTCTAAATAAACGATGGAATGGATAATTGAAACGTTCATAGAAATGTTCATAGAAATCTGTAAAAGGAAACCAAATTTGGGAAAAAGAATTTTCGACACTTTCCCCTCCCCCCCCCTCCCACGAAAGCTTATGTAAATTTTCAATTTCAATTCATTTATACTAATACATTTACAGTTTGGCATCTACCGGTCGCAGATAGCAACAGCTAGCCCGAGCAGTAGTTTCACGGAGATTAATACATTAATAAAAATTTTACTGGAACAGATTACAGAGAAGAAATGAACAATATACACATGCTAGTTACAATCATAAGAGTTCTAAGATGAGAAATTACAACTTCGAAATGGAAACAATAGTTTCTATGAAGGAAAAAACCTCGCTGCATATTAAACGAGTTTGAGTATTTACTAATGGTATTTCAGTTTTTCAAGTTTTGTCTTTTTTCATTTTTGGATAAATTTGTTATTTTACGTTTGGATATTTTTTTATATTTTGTTTGTCTTTGTACTTATTTTCAGTTAAGTTCTGTTTAAAGATTTTGCTAGTATAGCGAAAACCTACTTTTGGTTTCCTGCGATCTAATTAATAAAATGTTGAATTAATTACAAAATAGAGAGTGTTTTCACAGGAAGTCACGGCCGCCCCTTTGGTGTTCCTTAACAATGATCTATTTTTATTGCAAACCCTTTCTTTTTTTCAATAAAGAAACAAGATAGCTGGTCACATGAGTGAAATGGCTCTATAAGAAAATACAAAAACATTACGAGAAAGAATCAATTATAGCCCCTTTTTTTGCTGTAAAATGAAGTTTCCTTGACAACCACGCCTTGTTCTCATTTCGTAACTGAAGTTAAGAAAACTGATTGGCCACTGATCCGATTTTTGAACAAAAACAGCTGCCATACTACTGAGTTATGAGTGCCTTCGCGAAGATCAAAGTATTTGAGACAATGCTTAGTAAATATGTTTATTAACCATTTGTGCTTCGTAGAGTACAAATAACTCGCGAGACGACTGCAAATATCACACGATATTTGTACTCCAGAAATATCCGCGAAATTCGTCTGCACTGAAATGACAATTTGGATCATCTTGTCTGACAGGGCAAGATTCGGTACCACAATACCCCGTGAGTACCACTAAAATGACTGCTAAGTACTGTTACAAGTTTAGCACACCGTGTTCTTATTATTGGTTCGTCTGCAATAGTTTTCAGTGGAGTGCCCAAAGGAATCCAGTAACCAATCAGATGCAAAACTTTAACTAATCACGACTTGATCGCCTGCGTTTTCCTGCACTTTCGACAGGTTGGTCGGTTTCAGAGTTCTCATTGGCTCTTAGAAGTATTTTCCTTCCTTGTCATTGGCCGTGCTGGTTTAACGACACTCAATTAATTGAGGAGCACTCTGTATGCATTGTAACTTTACGGTCAATCATTAAAAATCCTTTGAAATCCCCTTTGTCAAAGTATAGTACAAAATCCTTTCACATGTATTTAACAATTATTCGGCAATATTCACCGAACTTGAGACGAATAATTGTTTTAGTATAATTTCAGAGCTGAACAACCGAGAAATTTCTAAAATCATAACATTTTAGTAACAATTATTACCATTTTATTTTAACATTTTATATAAACCGCTTGGAGCGGTTTATATAGCGTCATATAAGGAACCGCTCGACCAATCAGATTGCTGGAAACTCTTTGCTCAGCTCTGAAATTATACTAATGTCACTTAGTTATTGACCAGAATAAACACATAGCTTCAACAGTAACAATTGCCTCTTTCAAAAATAGTTTTAATGATACCTTGCCATTGCGAATAACTTGAAAGAATTCTTTATGATTTTCTTTGTGAGTTCAAGTTGTGGGGGGTGAATTGTATATCCAGAATTCATTCATTTTTCTGTTCTGCTTACAAAGTTTGAAATACATAATTTATGTGAACTTCAAGAAATTCCAATCTTGAATATTACTGTAAATGGTTTAGTAGCTTGCGAGCAAGCGATCATTTTCAGCGCTTCGGCGCGAGCGTTTGGTCGTCAGCCGGAAAGAAAGAAGCCTTGAGCAACGCGAGGTAGCCAGCGGTCTCTAAGGAGTTTAGCACTGATTAGTGGCAGACCCTCGGCCAACCTCTCGCTTACTCGTCTCAAATCTTCCCGGGGGCGGAGAAACGCGAGGGCTTGCTCTCAGTTTAATTTTTTAAATATTGTACATTTTGTCTTTTCAAATTCAAGTGAAATCTTTGTTTTTGCAGACACAACACGAGAGCCAAAAGAAGGCGAAGAAAATGGCAAAGGTTACAATTTTGTAAGCCGAGAAGAAATGGAGCAAGACATAAGAGCTGGAAAGTATCTGGCGACTTGGAGACTATGAGGGGAACCCGTACGGAACTAAGGTGGACGGTATTGGTAAGTCAAGCGCTCTGGGTAAATGTGTATTCTGGATGTTAACTCTACGGTAAGGAAAAGTAGAACTCAGCAGTTTAGCTTTAATGCGATTGACCAATCAGAACAAAGGTTTACATTGCCATTAGCCAATGAGAACTCATCGTAAAAAACCTTCTGGAAGGGCGGGAAAACGCGGACGACGAAGTAGCGATTGTTTCTTAGTTTTGCATCTGATTGGTTTTCTTGGCCGCTTACAGGGCAAAGTTAAGTAAAACCAAAGCAGTCTCGGATCACTTTCGACACTCAATTGAACATTTCTCCAACGTGTCGAGATTCGCTAACTGGTGATCAAGGCTTGGAGAAAATAATGTAAAACGAGGATTAAGTGTCGGCATTTTTGAAAAAAATTAAAGAGTGCTATTCCAAAGAGCAACAAGTGCCCAATTGCAGGATGATAATCACGCAAGGTAGCTCAGATGAGGAAATACTTACCTTTTTTTTTTCCTTTTTTTAGACTCTAAAGATTCTGAAGGCGCCAGAATTTATGCCGTTTGTCGTATTTATTGCGTTGCCACCTATTGACACCCTGAGAGAAATTCATAAACGAGCCACATCAGAAGGAACTATTACCAAGAAACAGACGGTAAGTATGTAACCCGGTCACCGGTGATCGACAAGAGTACTCACTTGTTAAAGGAAAACCCTGAGAGTGTGGAGTACTTTTCGGGCGCCTCAGTCCCAGAGTTCAGCGTGGCGCACTAACGCTCATTCTTATACTTTTTTTTTTTGTTTTTTGGCTCGCGCGACAGACTTCGCAGAAAAAGAAAGACTTCTCGTAGTCTAGACTGAGAGGCAAACAACTACTGCTCAGAGCCAATCATTTTGCAGGATTTTGTAAGTGTTGTAATTCGTGGTGGAAACCATATCTTATTTTTGTTTTTTAGGACGAAGATCTTCAGAGGACAGCCGAGGAATCAGAAAAGCTTTTCAACAGCTATTCGCATAATTTTGATAAAGTCATTGTGAATGACAGCCTTGATAATGCCTTGTCTCAGCTGAAGGATTGTGTCGAAGGGCTTAGCAGCGAGTCACAATAGGTCCCAGTTATCTGGGTGTACTAATTGCACATTTTGCCCCCTCCCCCCATCCTATCCCCCTGAGGGGGATCTCATATAACGTAACAGGGGCGGCAGTCAAAAATTTGGCCCGAAAACCTTCAAGGTACAAGTTTGGATCTGCTGTAAATCTATATTAATCCGTTTGTGGTATATCTACCAATCCCTGTGGTATTTTATGTCTGTGATGATACAGATCACCCTCGTTATTTTTGTACAGATTCTCTCCCTTCCCCTCCACGAGATATTTCATCATACTCAAGGGACTTCAGTGCTAATGAAAAATGAGCGTATTTGAAAATCCAGATTATTCTGTCTCAGAATGTTCGCTTTTTTATTATTTTTTGCCTTTATTGACATCAAGCTAGTTGTTTGTCTTTCATACTTTGTGTAATTATTATCCAACTTTAAAAAGATAGCAGCTGTAAAGATTTGTTTGTCTTATAGCCAATATTTCTTTGTGTAACTGCTGGTCATCTCGGTGCTGACTGCACCACGATGGTTCCAGAAGACTAAACACAGCTTCTTAAGATTTCTTTGTAAAATGACGGATAACTTTGCAAATCCCAGGTAGTTTGTTAAAATGTGAAAATAAATTTAGGGGCTGTGACTTTTTTGGGGCCAGCAAACTTTCCTTCAATTTGAAAGCAGCCATAAAATACTCTGAGTTTGGTGAGTGGAAAAAAATCAGCAATATGCCGGGGAAGAATGCACCCGTCTGGGAACAAACAATGATGGAGGGACTGTCGCAGATAGGAATTTGAACTTGGAAAATTTAAGCTGAAATTTTTAAAGATGCAGCAGAAACTTTGATTTGGCTCCTGTCAAGAGTATCTGGGGACTTTTCTATTAAAAAAAATTTATTTAGATGTGCTCAGCTCTACGGCTAATACTCTTAAAAAATGTTGAAGTATTTTGTCAACAAAACTTCTTGTAAAACCCGGGGTCCCCTCAGGTCTGGTACCCCGCGAGTCTTGGTTTGCCAACATGACGAGGTTACCAAGCCGATTTCGACGGTCGTTGTGTCGTGTTTAATTACTTGGTTTATTGGCTTAAATTTTAATGAGAATTCCACTGAAGTTTGCCGACTCGCTTAACTTTAAACGAGTTGGAAAAACAACTGTTTTCACGGGACTTCCGCTTGTCACTCGCTAAGCGACCTGAAAAATCGCCCGTGAAAACACGGCCCAAGTAGCTTTAGCGAGTTGGCAATTAATTTCGCCCAATCAGGAGTCGTTTGCGGTTATTCATTTGACAGGGCTGTCAAATCAGAAATACAATACGCGTGGTGTTTTTACTCTCCCGTGTGAAGCGTTCAAACCAACATGTATATTAAATCATAACAGAGCGAGTAATTTTTCTTTTTATCCAAGAAGCTTCGCACTATCAAGCGATGCAAGGTGAGTTTATTTCGAGTCCTTTAAACATTCCAGATGCAAATCATTCAGCTAACGCAACAAATCATACGCTTTAGGACATCTGGCCGCTTCGTTATTCCTCCTGTGAGCGATCACTTTGCCGATCCCGTTCCCGCACGTGGTCCATATATATTTCCTACGGTAGCCTACAACTGTCACATCATATTAAAGTCACTCACATCAAATAAAAATCACTCACGTCAAATTAAAATTACTCACATAGCTACTAACTATGCTCACATCAAATTCAAATCGCTCACATCAAATACATCAATTGGTCAGCGGCTAAGTCAATGAATGCCATCCCCAACGTTTACTCGGTCTCCCGCTTTACCGCCATATTTTGTGCGATTCGATTTGTAAGATCGTTCTTTGACTCGACACTAGTTCACTGATCAGATTTCTAGCAAATATGTAAAAAGAGGGTTGACAGGCCTGAACCACTAGCCTATTCAAAGTTTGGCCCTCACTAGTATGTCTGAGCAATCGCCCTCTTCTGTAAGATACGAGCGGCGGATTTTTGTATAGTTCGCTCAGTACTGGTTGTGTTTCTATTAAATGCCAGTTTCGCATGAGAATTTGCTTTAGGTTTGGCACTGATGGTTGGTATTGTGTAACAAAAGGCAG